CTCCGTAAAGGTTACAAATTTACCGATGCTACTGTGCATGGAGTTGTTCTACCGCAACGCTGAACAATTTTCAGTCCGAAATAGTAAAGAGCTGTGCGAACAATAAGCCACATCTTGCAGAGATGCATACTCGATTGCGCGCCACGATGCGATGGGAGAGAATCTCACAAAAGCTTGAAATTAGGGTACAGTCTTGCCCCGAAAGAGAGTTTCATAGTACGAAAAAGGGCTCTTATGAGCTTACACGAGCCGTATGAAAAGCAGGAACATCATCCAATTACACATTTAATGAAGTGCTCTGCGAAATTCCCATTACCGTTCTGCGATCGGGGAAGACTGGTGAACGGTCACTTCATTTTACTTCTATTATTTTGGACTACAGACAACAGAACGTGGAACCCTTACCTCAGTTATAGAGTTAGGGCTCAATGAAAATAAACAGGGTTGAGACCTCGGATCAGTTCATTTTGGACTCAGGAAAAAAGTGCTTGATTAAATCAATTTAACTAGAAAGGGGCCATTCTAGTCGCTCATGTCTTCGTAAGCAACGTGTCACAACTACTGATTACTGGTCACTGCGACGTCACATGAATGATCTTCAGAACGGGAGCTTGGGGATAAAATGGAGATAGCCAATCCCGTCCTGGGATCAGGATAGATCAGTAAAGACTGACCCAACGGGACTACTGCCTCACTGAAGACGAGGCTCGATAAGGGGGAAGGAGATCGGACGCGCCAATTATTTACATGACGTCCTACCTGCAAGAAGGAGCTTTAAGCAAAGAAAAGGCATCCGGTTTCATTGCATTCTCCTCAAGTCCCGTACAGAAAGGGCAACTGGAATATGCATGTGGCTAAAATTTGAAAGTCAATATGATGCCCCGTCAAAAAAATTTGTTTACGGTTGACTGCAAGACAGGGAGTTAAATTCGCCTAAGCTTATCCTAAGTGACGTAACCTGGAAACTATAAGACAGGTTAATGTTTGTATATTAGCCTTCTGCTTTTACTCACTAGTAGACGGACGTTAGTGGATGTGAGCAGGAACTGCGTCGGCAAATCGAATGAATCAGGGTCCAGCAATGCGCCGTGTAACAGTTTGGAGCGATTTTTTTACTCCACTGCATTTGCGGAAAATGGTGAATGCTTCTCAGCGACCTTACGATAAATTGATCTGATGTGAGAAAAATCAAATAAAAATCGTCATACTGCCGATAGAAGCGATCAGGTGCGTTCCAGGAAGCAGTTCAGAAGACGACGATGCAATCGCTGGAACAGAAAATTTACTGGCCTGGCGTTTCGGATTCTCACTCGAACCCATCATCAGAGACAGTCGCAGGTGAGGGTAGTGGTAACTGAAGGAGTGAAGTATTTATAGTACGTAGCTACCGTAGAGCCATATGCGTAGTAACATTTGGACATTTCTCAATCACCGCTGGGGGTCGTAATTGATGCGTGCATGGCTTGCCCGCTCGCGTCCGAGTCGCTAATGGCCGAGATTTCGTCATCTGTGTTAGATGCTGGCAGTAACGTACTATAAATGCTGCACTCCTTGAGCCACCACTACCCTCATCTGCGATTGTCCCTGATGCTGGGTTCAAGTGAGAATTCGAAAAGTCAGGCCAATAAATCTATTGTCCCAATGATCGCATCTTCGTCTTCTGAATCATCGTACTAGCTCATACATAATTCTTCATCACCTGCCACAAAGGCCCACCCTGCTTTCGAAACACCGTTGTCAAAAGCGAGTTCCAAACGTTCAGCAGGCAGTGTCTGGACTTAGTAAATTCCCTTACCGTTTGAGTAGAATCGCCAGATTGCAGCTGAACTACCACCTCACACTGCGATAATCTGACTACTGACTGAACTTCCTCCTAGTGAGCCTTCATGAATCTTTACTGTCAAAATATGCGAGTCGAGACAGTAAATTGTTAAGTTAGTTGGATAGGCAAGAATGTTAGGCCAATTGCCCATCAAATGACTGATCTATGTTATGATTTCTGTGGGGTTTTTACAGTATTCAAAAGTACGCAATATGCGGAGTGTAATCAGTATCACCGGGGCTCAGGATTTCTGAAACGCGACCTGCACTTCCAAATTTTCCATGCCCATTGGAAATTATGATCTCCACAAACGATGCAACACTAGTTTTAACTATAATACGATAGGACATTCTAACGTGTTTCACAGTAAATCTGAAAGGATGATGCTATGAAGGTAGAAAAATGAGCTTGTCCAAACGACTAAATTAGCCTAAATTAATTCACTTATCAGATCCTCGCAGAAGGTAATTTCCTTCAGACCACCAATATGTAATTAATATCTTTCAGCTATTTGAAGGAAAACAGAGTCACTTTTAGACAGGGTTTCAAAACGAATTGTAGAATACATACCAACGTGGCAGGCCCAATCTAAGTAATAAAGCTGGTAAGACTATAAGGCTAAGGCAGACACGCTTATCCGAAATGATTTGGCATTTAGGCTGCCTTCTTTCAGTTTGCAAGCGTGCTTAAGGCGTTTGCTCAATACGCCATGAATTTTCGGTAAGCTGAATTTCGTGAGACCTGGGAGGAAGTGAATCACTGCCTGATCTAGGCAGCACTTTGAGATCGTGAAACTGCTTTCTACGCAGTTAATCTGAGACGCCGTGAGAGCGCACTGATAAAGTGGAAGCTGGTGTCTTTAGAGGACGCCCTACCGAGTTCCCTGCTCGAGGACACAATCCGTCACTTGGGGATGGTGGTATACTCCTGCCCAAAATTGACTTGAAGAAGACGACTTGGAAAGTGAATAGGTACCTGAGGCGGACAGAGGAAGAGAATCGGCCTGTGTAGATGAATATCGACCACAAGCCCGCTTTTCTGCAATGAACGTGAAGCAGCTCTCTCCAAAGCCAACGGTTCAACCAAAAAAGACCAGCCCACCACGACCACCTTCATGCTGATTGCACTGCTGGTGGCATAACAATCGAACAGACTTGTGCCAGTGAGGGAGACAAACATTAAAGAAGGAAATGCTTATGTTCAGGTGTAGGAAAGAAGATCGTTATGAGCAATTCTGGTTATACTTATGACAGTGGCGGAGATAAGATCCAATCATCAAGTGTGCCCGTTTATGAATGGAAATGAACGCCGTTCTGAGCTGCTAATAGAAAAGCAAAAATGGTTTTCTTTCTTTCGAAACCAACTAGAGGGAGTTGAAGAGTGTATGTTCTTGAAATTGACAACACAAATACGTGACCTAGCACAGACTGTGCAGTGTATGCAGTGTGATAACTAGTGATAAAGACGCAACAAATAAAAGCAGTAAAGAATGTCATAATTTGGTGTTCAAGTAGTCGGACCTACACCTTTTACATATTCTCCACAAAGTAACTGTGGTTGCCGTCGATCTAGCATACAACGGCAGACTTCTTTCCACAAGACGGCGGACCTATGGTTGTAGCACACAGCCATGATTTATGGTTCAGGGTATCATTCGGTCTCCCGACAATGGCAGTTTCATGCAATGTGCATGGCCATTCACACTCCGACCCACAGTTAGTCACTGTGGTACACATGCGAACTGTCAGCTCTTTAAGAATGCTGATAATTCGTCCGCAATAGGAGTCGGTAGCTGGAAAGGCCGCCTTAATAACACCTACAGTTCGACGGTCGATTTCAACGAAGTCCACCGTGTGCTTCGCAAGAGGGGGAAGACAGTGACGCTTACTCGCGGGTAAAGTATTTTATAGTGGCGGCAGACTTGCCCAGCATCTATCGCACACTCTCCTTCCCCATTTGGGCCAGGTTTTACGATCAAGTCAAGCAGGCGGGAGGCGGGAGAGTCCATCGGTTTCTGGCACGGCTGGACCTGCACCTAGGTGTACCACCACATCCCCTGGTCCACAACAGACACTGGACCAGGATTTTAACCAACAACAACAACAATTGTGATGTCTGAATCTAAGTAGTGTTAAGCTGATAGTAATTGCGAAGCTGGATTTCCTGTTTATACAATACACTTTTCGGCATTTATTTTTTCTACCCCATGTAGTAAATGCATAGTAAAAGATCACCTAGGCAGTAAAACACCCTGTCAGTATCCTGTGGAGGAAGAGAAGGCCAAGCGAAGTAACTTTAGTGTCATGTGAAAACCAAATCAGTTTATTAGGGAACAAATATGTAAGAGAACGTATAACTTCGAGATCACCAGAAAATCTGTGCAACAAAGTTGAGACTTGTAGCAGCAAGCATAAAATCAGAAAATGGCCTCTAGAGTGTGGTTACTTCAGCAGTCGAGTATACTAAGGCCTTTTCAGGCCGCGTGGAAAGAGACTTAACGCTAATCGTCTTGTGCTATCCGCCAAGCAGAACATTTCCCTCCACTTTTGGGGCACAAGTGCTACATTCTCACCTCGTTAGACTATCAACTTCACCCGGGCAGACGCCTAATGCGCACGCCAGACAAAGAAAGCGATCCGTAGCAGAATGCCTGAGTTGAACGCCGCCACAGCATACATATAAAATTGGGGGAGGGGGGAGGGAGGGAGGGAGTGGTGACTGAGGCCGCAGACACTCATAGCAGCTGCCGAGCCTGATGACTGGCAGGCGCCTGAACTCTGGTTAACCTGTGTGCTTTAGACTAAGAAATTAGAATATTCAGGGTTCGATTTGAGAGTGCTGCCCACAAAACGAGTACTGTACTATAGCTAGCCGTCTGAAACTGTAACGCGCAAAAACTCCGAACAAACCTTTAGCAGAACTGTCACAGGATGTAAAACTGCGAATAAAGGAACTGCGTAGTTTGGGATAATTGTGACAAGGAGGATGACTTAACAGAAGATTAGAGACTCCATACAGAGACCGAAGACGACGCTGGAGCTGCTGACTGGTATTTCCTAACAGATCCGTCTTTCTCTTTCCAAAATCACCAGTACACTCCCCCCTCTCACACTGAAAGTTGTGCAGAAAGGAGTGAGGAGCCTCCCTTGTCTTTGTCGGTAATAACATACTGCTTATATCATGCGCCGCTGTGCGGCTGCTGGTTGGGCTCGAGGGAGAGCCTGTAAGGCACAAAGGAACGAGTGAGTTCCGTAAGAACGGTCGGTGAGCGCCCTCTACCATAGAGGAGACGAAGCCGACGCAAGTCTAGAGCACAAGAACGTTTGACAGGCCGACACACGCACAAGGAGCAAACGCAACTGCGAAAGATATATGGACGGGGAAAAGAGAGTAAGAGAGAGAGGTGGCGCAATAGCATGACCCAAAAACAGGGATTGTGAGGCCCACGCAAGGAGTGAAGGAGGCACAAAAACGACCCATTTCGGGGCCTGGCGAGACCAGCAATCTTTAGTCCGACCGCTTCTTTTCAAATATTTCCCCTCGTTCACGAGCTCGTGGTGGAATTGCTCTGAGGAGACAAATCACGCTACCACCGCCCTTTTTTGCCTGTATGACAAACTGCGTCCAGTGATAGAAGAATATCATTACTTTTTGAAAGCAACCCCTGACTGATGGTGAATATACCACCGCTGGCTGCTAGACTCGTGCATGGGCGAGCCTTTCTAGCTGACAGACTGCTGCACGCATGCAGGCCGCCACCCGGGACGGCGGAGGCGCTTAACTGAGGGAAGAGAGGACGTTTGTCCCAGTATCTGCGTGATAAATATTTACTCTGCTGAGTGAGACGCGGAATAACTTTGCTAAACGCTGAGCTACAGGGATCGTAACATGATCTCGCTGAAATATCTTAAATAGCACCGACGGTCCAACTGCCTACGTAAAGGCAATCTGTTTCTGAACTGACCAAAAATGCAGCGAATACTAAAGGGATTTAAGAACATTCGGCTCTGCGCTCTGGCAATTTAATCGATGTCAAAAATGGCTTCAAATGCCCTTCGTTAATTGGCTAATCGCAGCGCAAAAATAAAGAGAAGAATACAGCTGCGCTGCGCGATGGGGTCCTGGTCTTGAGGCCTGCGTCAACAAGCGCCGAATATACATTCATGGCCTATAAACGCGTCCATGTGGATTAACGGTAATGTTTGTCGCGTTTAAATCCCCAAACCGGAGAACAAACAAGAATGTGCCTTGACAGGAAGGAAATGCGTTCTGGAAATATATTTCATGAAAGAAAATGCCAATCACGGGTGAAAAGTTGCTCCCGCATCCATAATCAAGTGGAGCTGCACTGACGAGCAGATTAATGTAAGCAAGTCAACCGGTCAAAAATCTATGGATCTCCGCGTTTTTTCGTTATCCTTCGAAGGAAGCGTCTTCAGACAGAGCCCTAAGGTCAAGGACAGCATTTCAAGGCCTAGTACTGCCCTTTTAAATGTCCGTCTCGACGGCTAATGTCAAGAGCAAAACCCGATCATAATGCTGTCTCAATTCTACTCAAGAAGAATAAGTTAATTCGAATTGAGCAACGCCACTCAATCTTATCCGGTTATAGTACGGTATACCGGGACTCCTTTTTGTCTTTCAGTCGCATGACTTACAAACCATGAATTCAAATATTAGGTCCTCCTAACCTTGGAATGTTCTGTGGCTGCCTGACGATGTCAAGCAAACTAGGAACAAACCATATCAAGTCGACCGCGTCGATTTTTTACCATGTCAAGCTAGGAACTATGTCAGTCAACTTTTTTCCATGTCTAATGCAATGAACGCGCACGCTAAATCCGTATAATTAGTAACGCGAGACTGCAGCATCGGTGTTGCACATAATTTTCTCGGCCTCCACTTCATGTGCAGCAAATTTTTCAATCTATGCAGGTCCATATGACTGCTCTTCTTCGTCGGTACTGTCGTTCTACTGCCCTCAGCCAATTGGTGTGCTAAGAGTGTCATGATCAAACAGCTTTCGAGCGTACTAGACCTCAACCGTACTCTCCGTCAAACGTCAACTTATCGCCATTCTGGTCGGTTCCTTCCAGTCCTGCTTTCTCAGTACATTGAAGTTGCATCTGAGTCGATCTGGAACGTGCTTTCTAAACCGAGGCTTTTCCGAGGAAACAAACATTTTCGCTGAGCACTCGGCGCACATCAAAGCGTACTCATCCGCTCCTGGTGATAATCACCACCAACCACCTGGAGGACTGTGCAGCCGACTACGCGGCGACTTTGTTCATAGTAGCTTTCGACTTTGCTTTAAGTGCGCTAGCATTGCGCCCTGCAGAGAACTTAAAGTTGGAGCATTTAAGCATGTTCACTTGTCAGCCGGAGAAATGAGTAGTAAAATGCAAGGTCAATAAGCCCAAGTTGACTTTGCCAACAGAAGACGCACAGGTCTGGCATAAGAGCAGACATTGAAGGGGAAGGCGCACAATCCCGACAGCGTAGAAATTTAGCTAGGATAAAGGGCCGAGAGTGGGTTGTCTCCAAAAATACCTTAAATGCCTGATATAGGCTGCCATCTTAAAAAACGAACATTTCACAAGAGCAAGAGGTGAAAAATAGTGTAGGTGTACGACAGGGAGTCATTTTTTGTGAGTACTCTAAGCTTTAAAGGTTACTTTTCCGGTCTCAGATCGGAAAATAGCTTGGTCTGTATACCCAGAAGAAGAGGATATCCAGCAAGTTGCGTCAGCAATCCGGTTATCGGACACTAGTTTCCGACTGTTTGATTTATGTTTACGGTCTTGCTCAACAAGATGGTTCAGTTATTTAAGTACAACCTGATCTTCATGGCAGTTTACATAGTGCACACTTTATAACACTCATGGGACCGGCCAGGCCTACAGGGCAGACACAGCTGCCCACGGAAATTAAGTCATAGACATAGGACCGACGTAACGGTATAAAACAGTTTTTGGCAGCAGTGGAGGTGTGTAAAGCAACTGGTGTTTTTATTCCATCACACCTGCCGCTGCCCGAAATACGCTCTGGCAGATTGCTATGGGAGAGGGTCAACGGATATGTCAACCCGTCGATGTAATTCTAACCTTCTAGTGGTATAAGCTAGCGGTTAGATTTAGAAAAACTGAGATTCCCTATCGCCTAATCAAGAACTCTTTGTAGAATACTGACCATTAAAGACCACAGCAGTCGCAGATAAAGAGGACCATCATTGTTTAGACTGACAAGGGTAATTCTTGTTTAGTGTGGATCATGGTCAGAAAAATCACTGCAACACATGGTCAATTGTGTTGTCCCCTGACAACCACATTTTTATAACGAGATAAGACATGTGGCGTGATTCAATCGATAGAATCAACAATAAATATGGCAACATAATTCATCCCGGAATACGGTATCGAGGCCACACGCCGAGGTTTCTACAGAGCCTGGCAAAAAGAGGAGCAGGCAGACAGATAGTGTGTTCTATTTGCTATTTTTAAATGTTATTTAGTTTCCTAAATGCATTTGGCATTGTAGTGTTTTGCAATATGGAAAGATACAAAGATGATATTCTTGCCGTCACAACTTACTATTACATATTTGGCTAAACACAATGTCGAAACAACTAGCAGTTTTATTGATCGTGAATAACTTTTTTAGCTTCCCAATAAATGGAGGCCATTACGTATGTGGTGCACGGTAAGTATCAAGCCCCTCTTTAAAATTAAGTCTCAGAAGACGAAGATGTGATAACTGGAACAGGAAATTTATTGGTCTGACGTTTCGGACTCTCAATCGAATCCATCCTCAAAGACAGCCGCAGATAAAGGTAATGGTGGCATAAGGTGTGCAGTATTTATAGCCCATGGCTGCCGTGGGATCATATGCGCACTGTAATTAACAGCTCTCGTAATCACCGCTGGGGTCATAATTAATGCGATGGTGGTTTGTCAGTCCGCGTGCGAGTCGTTCATAGCCGTGATTTGGTCATTCACGCTGGATGCTGACGTGGCGATAGATCAGCGAATTGGCTCACTGTCACTGGGATAATTGCTCGCCTACCCCCTACCCATGTGACGGCTTTCCCAGCCGAGGGAAAATCTCAGCACGGAATATGATACCGGGAGGTCATTGCACTTTTTGATGGATGTTGACTACGAATTTCATTTAAGAACTTTAGCATCGCCTGCAGAAATCGAGGTTTAAATACCATAGCTGGTTTCATTTTCCAATCCCAAAACTAAGCACCAACAGTAGGATGTGAACGTTTAACTCGCTCCTGCGTGTAGCTGCTTAATTTAATTCGTCCCAAAATTCAATGCACATAACACTTCCGAAAGCTTTAAACCTGTCATAACCTAAATATTGCGTTCATAACACCACCCAGGTTTATTTAGGTAAGCTTACTCCCACTGAGTGCCTGGCATTAGAAATGACAGCCTAACTGCTTGCGACGGAGGAAATTCGTAGTGCAAATGAATCTGCTATATCAAAAAGTCGACTGATGGTCGGAGATCTGCTGCAACATTGCATAATATCGTTATGCAAATCAAGCCCAGTGTTGTGGGTGAGCGAACAATCCTATCGTAAAATTAGTAGACGATTTGCGTGCAAGACAATTACCTCAAGCAAGCAACATGAAAGCTAAATAATTTGGGCAGCAGTATTGTGTCGGATTGGTTGTGTGAAAAATTTCAATGGCAAGGAATCTGGAAAAGCAAATATTATTTTATCTAGTGACTGTCAGAAGCAAATGCGCATCTTTCGGACGAAACAGAGAAATGCTGCACGGCCACCTGGACAAAATTTATGTTTGCCCCTCTGTGACCTTAAATAAGCATACTGCCAAAACATCACATTGAAAGTAAACGGTTCCTAGAATATCTCTCACATAATGAGTGTTCAGTGTCACCCATACAAAGATGCGCGTGAAGGGCTACTTTGTATTTAAAAGTCCATAGTGCGGCTTCCTTGGTTTCCTCACTGGTGTGCGACCATGCGCAGGACCGGGAATAACGTTTTGTACATTAAACAACCTATAAGTCACTTGGAAATGCGACAATGGCATTGTGACATAAGCGCTGTAAACCGACAGTAAAATAAGTTCATTTGACACCATTGTCTAGTGGATGGGCTCCATCGAGCGAAAGCTTTGGAGCAACCTTTGACACGTCTGTATTCAAAATTCACAAGAAAAGTTTTGAGTCATAGGTTTTGATCAAAAGCTCATGCCTAAGTTAGCTGTTGACTTGTCTAACCGACTGTCTGTAAACTCATACGATTCAAATGAACAACACGATCCGGAGACGCAAATATATGTCTCTATATACCAGGTACACGGCACAAACCTCGATTATTGACTGCCTTTTGGAAGATAAAACAGTATAAGTGAACGGCCGAGGGTTGATAGTGAAGAATACAGATGGGAATCAAAAAATAGCAAAGATGCCCTGCGCATGGACCCTGGTCATCAATTTCAGATATTGCCGACACCCCAGTGATCAACAAATTTTGATATTCATGGGTGTTATGGCAGGTTTCAAATAATTCACTTTTAGCCAGCTGCGAAACTTTTGGTGCCTTGGTGGGATTCGAATCCACGACAGTAAGAAGAGGCTTTCATACAACAAAGCCCTAACCATCTGATCTTCGAGGCGTCACCGGACGACGCGAGTTTAATCACACTTTTGGTCAAGTTTACTCGCCAAACTTAGTGCAATGCCTGTTACCACCAAATCTAATATCGTAAGCTGACTGCTTAAGAAGGATCTTCTAAGTAATATACCAAGAATTCACCAGATGACAACCAGGTTCACGTAATTCATAGGTGTTATGGCAGATTTCAAATAATTCACTTTGACCTAACTGAAAAACTCAGATGGCTAGAATGTTGGCTGTACTAAAGCATCCTCTTGCTGTCGTAGGTTTGAATCCTGCCGAGGCAACCGAGTTTTTCACAGTTGGGCCAAAATGAAAGTTTTCGATATGTTTTATCTGTAGCGAAGATCGAAAAGTCAAAAATCGATGTGAAAGTGGTTTTTGGTCTGGCATCGGGGACAATTTACTCGTAGCAAAGTGTTATTGACGCAAACAGAAACTGCAAACAACTGTTTGTAAAGGAAATTACCGCGCGTTTAGCACAAAATCATAATACTTGTGACAACCTGTTTGAATGACTGCACGGTAAAAAAAGAAAAAACAAGAAGTGTCATTATCATTAAAACAAATATTTGATTGTAACATCCGCAATGCCTTTTCACAAACGTGAGAAAAAGATGTCGTTTAAACGCCCACTATTCCCGTCATTACGATTAATTCATTTAAGTGACAAGACACAAAGGAGCAGCTTTCGGCACGCAATAAGAAGACAGAAGCCAATGGGGAACGCAGCTGCTGAACACTCGATTAAAGATGTATTTATATCCCATGGATTAGTATGCAACCAGTGTTTGTAATGAAATGAGAACCAAAATAATGCGAAACCGCAGGTAAACATGTTAGAAAATGCAGTTATTCCTGAATGCCAGGCCGGTGAACATTCGTGATAAAAGTAGAAGTATAACGAGTATACATCGAGCACTAATGACGGTTTTACGTTCTGCTCAGGCTCTCAATTGCGAACCTGTACTTTATAAATAATGCAAATGAGTTACATTAGTAAGTATTTATTACAAAACAAGAAATCAACTAAAACTATTTCATTTATAACGGTAACAGTGACTTTAGTGCTTGTTTTACAAAATGAACGCGGCAAACGTTCGTCTGCAGACAATGAACCATGAAATTGCTTATTTAATCGAAATGTCTAAACGATTAGAAATATAGTCAACTCAGGCGGAAATATATGTGAGATGCGGCTATGCTTACATTAAGGGATTCCCAGCACAATTGATAAAATATGATTTCAATAAAGGATGCAGATAAAAAAGTGGGGAATGCAAATCTTTACAGCAGAAGTAACTAGAGAAATTAACACGCTCTTCTTACTTACGTAGTTGCGGAGTAATCGGGTGGTCGGGAGAAGAACAACCGGCTTTACAGCTGCCTAGAGCAATGATCCACTTTTGTCGCTCCAGAGGGGTCCGAGCTCTCAGGTAGAAGCGCTGTGCACCCGGATCGAGGATATCCAGCCGGCAAGAATCTGACGGACTAACTGTGAGGGCTCGGGGTGATCTAGGCAAATATCCTCACCTATCACTTCGCAGGCGGCCACTTTCAAGGCGCCCTTGCATCCCAGGCCAACTTCCACCTCAGAGTTATAGTAAGAAAGAACTCCATCCCGCAGAGAGAAGTAACGTGGTTGCCAACCTATAGGATACCGCTAAATGGATGCGATATAAATCCTACCATTTATGTAGTTGGTCCACTTGTACAAGAGACCTTCCATATTTCCTAAGCAAAAAACATTGTTGTTAGAATATGCAGCATGTTCAATCTTAGAAAATATTGGCATATAATGACGAGCTGCCTATTGTTAACTAAATGCATGATATGCTGATAACGAACCGTCGAAGTCTAATACGAAAGAAGTTGTAAATAGCACTTAAATGAATCAAAAAAGTGGGAAATGGACTTCTAGATGTTGTGAATCTTAAGAGGCAGATGCATCTGTAGGTTATTTAAAGAGGATTTAAATCCAGGTTCAGCGATGGCTATTGAGAATCGCCTGTAAATAGGAAACGAGGATTGGAGGGGAGATGAAAATGTAAATACGAGGACAAAGCGCGTTTGGAACAGATGACAGCAGTTCTTACGACAACCACTGATAAAAAACACGAGTTACACATAGTGCTACTCCAAAAGTTCCAAAAGGCACATTTCCACATGGATTAATGTGCACATATACTCCCTATTTTGTATGCATTTTTAGAAATGTATACAAAATAGGGAGTATATTTATTCGTGAAAATTTTCACGCGTAGAAAAATTAGAACGCGGATGATGATATAAACACTGCACAAACAAACTAAAAAAATCAATAGGCCCCCATGCATGTTTAGCAAAAAGACAACTCGAAACAAGAGAAATCATGAGCTTTCTTATAGACTAAATTGTGTCTGGAAAAAGAAATCTGTTCTGCTATAATGGTTAATTGAGAATAAAAATTTCGCCGAGCACCCTTTAAGTGAACTTTATTTAAGCTATTTAATTTTGACAATGTTATAACGGCATTACAAAAGAGAACCTTTTAATTAAAATCCCAAAAACGCGATAATTAAGAACGTTACTCAACACACCAAAACAAACTGAAAGCTATAATTCAGCCTTATTCGGGTTAATCAGTGCTTCTGAGGTTACACGCGGTTTTATACTTCGCGACTAGTTCGGGCTCTCGGAACCATGAATAGGACAGTGTCCTTGTTCTGCTATGCGTAGGAAATATAGTTTAGAAGATGTGCATTAAAAATAATATGAATCATAAAGTAAGTACGGGTATGGAGGACGAGCCGGCTAAGGAATGGGCGGCTTTGAGGAACGCTTTGTTTCGGCTGGCAGCCGCTCAGTCGTTCAGTTTTCTCTTCTTTAATAAATTGCCCACTGACTTGTAACATTCTGAGCGGCTAAACAACGAACATTGGTGAAATACGCAGTTAGTGTCTAGATAATAAATTTTGATGCGAGACTGTCTGCTGCAAAAAACGACCCGGAGTGAGGAGTCCATGACAAGAGTCGTTGCTCAGACGTTATAAGTTTTCGGCGTGAAGTTGAGGCGGCTGACTTACTAATTTATAAAGTCAGTCGCAAGTCGTGTCACGTACTTTTAATTCCTCTGTCGATGCTCAGTCTATATTCATCATGATATTTTTGAGAATCCATAGTCAGCGGGTATAGGGACCTGAAACCCGGAGGATAAGTTCATCTAGCAAAACCAGCTGCACGATTGTGTCTTACCGTGATGATGTCGAGCATTCTGATATTTTAGTTAAAACCCGCAAGTCAGCGAGGTCGGTGGCTTACAAGTGCAGGCGACGAACGTAGCCTTCACAACAAAATGACTTGTGCCGCAGGTCTCAAGGGACATGGGACTGTGGTAGTTTCAAGCGCTGTTAAAAATGAGGTCCAAGACGCCATAACAACAAGAAAGCGTTTCGTTGGTGGACAGCGGCGCGAAAAACCCCACGTATAGTAAGGTCTGTGAGCTACCCCAATAAACTGAAGGCAACATCCCACCGTCAAGGTGGTGGGGCTGCATAAAGAGCCATTTAAAGCAAACGTAACATACCGACAGTTTGACCGTCGATTTCGACGATGTCCACCGTGTGTCCCACAGACTGCATTGTGGGAGCAGGGACGGTGACTTGCGCAGGGGTTTATAGTGCGGGTAGACTTGCGCTGCATCTACCTACACTCTCTCCTCCTCCCCCGCCTGGGCCCGGTGTCAAGACAGAGTCAAGAAGACCGGAGACGGGGGAGGCCGCAGGTGGATGGCTCGGACGGATCCTCGCCTTGGCGCTCCACTCCGCAACCCCTGGTCCACACACCAATGACCAGGATTTTGACCACAAAACAATGGGGTGGAGGCAGTGGTCCAGTTGTGCGACGAATGCCGACAACAGGGTCCGCCAGCGCACCCCGCAAATGTTGGCATTTGTTATTACGCAAAGATAATTCCTGCCAGAGTCCGATGTGGCCCCCGTGTTGGTCCAGCGCATCTAACACGTGGCCCGTTTTGAGGGCACAAACGTAACATAGGACATTGTAATTTTAACTAAAAGTGGTACTGTTTAGACGATCTAAAGTAACTTTAAGAAAAAAGAACTTAGTAAGCAACTTGAGTTATTACCAAGTTAGGGATGCCAACTTCCTCAAGTATTGAAACGTGTTGACTGTTTAAGTGCTGACTCTTTACTTGTTTAGAATGACTATGGCTTGAGAGAAAGATAAAGAAAGACTTTCCGGCCTGGCTAAGTCATAGTTGGGGCGTAAGGCAGTTCAGTTCTGTAGTTTATTGAGGGAAATAGGTGCAAGCCTTTGATCATCCTATTTGGCATGTAAAAAAGTGTGGCAAACAGAAAAATGTTCTCGGCTGAAATAGGTTAAACGAGCCCATAATGGTAGGGCAAATGGGAACGAGTTACGGGGGCTGAGCTCGACTTCTCATTGCTCTTGGTCATTTCGGAACATAAATATGTCAAGATTCTTCTTAAAACTTTGTATAGATGGTGTTATCACAACATCTGCGAGAAGGGCATTCCATGGTTTGACCACTCAAACAGAGAAGGAAAACTTCCGCACATCCAGACTTGCCTGCTGAGTGCGCAGTTTTAACGGGTGACCTCGAGGTTGGTCGTGGTAGCAAATTCAAAAGCGTTCTCGAAGACCAGGCTGCAATTCAAACCCTATTGCAATGCGGAATTCTTGCAAGATATCCCCGCGAAGTTGCCTGTACCTCAAAGGGAATAGTTTCAGATTTACTAGGCGGGTTGCAAAAGGAAAGGAGCTTTGACCCTTAACCATTTTCGTAACTCTCCTCTGAACTCTTTCGAGGGATTTTTGATCCTCAACTGCCCATGGTTTCCAGGCTTCTATGCTGCACTCCAAATGCGGCCGGACGAATGTTCCGAATGTCTTTGAAAAAGCATCTTCGTCAAAGCCCATAAACGTACGCTTGGTGGCCTACACGCCTTTTGTCAGTCTATAACAATGGGCGGATGGTTTAGGGATGGTTTTCGATCTCTTGTACGGCTGCACCGCCCTGGTGTGGCACAGTGTCGGACGCCGTCTGGAAGTCGATGAAAGCTATGTGGACGCGTGCCTTTTGTAGAGAAATCGGGCCTAGCTCTGAAGAGATTGCAGTAAGTTCGTCGTCTAAGACCTTCCTTTCCGGAACCCATATTGGCATTTCGATAGCAGGTCGTGCACTTTCAGAAATTGCATCAGTTCACTCTTTATGATCCTTTCCATTACTTTGCAGAGAATTCATGTCAAGCTTATGGGCCTGTAGATTGTCGTTGCTGCCCTGCTACCTCCTTCGTATAGCGGAGTAATATGCTCCAGCTTCCAATCGATAGGCAGTGTCCCAGCGTCAAATGACGTTTGAAAGAGCATCGACAAAGGCACAGAATGCTCGCTGGCAAGTGCCTTGAGAAGCACGCGTGGAAACGCGTCTGGTTTGGGTGACTTCCATTCGTTCAATGCCTCTACTGTTCTTCAGACAATGCCTTCTGAGAAGAGTATGTCGCTGGTGCTCGGGGTCGGCAGTTCTTATGTGCAGGGAAGAAGGAACCTTGTCTCGCTTGCGTAGACGGATTGGAAGAGCTGTGAAAAATACGCAGACTTATCCCTACTTTCAACAATCTCATCGACATCAGTAGTCTTCATTAGGGGGATTTGATGCCCGTTCCTTGTGCTTCATCGTAGGTAGCTATAGAGTAATTTTGGGTTCTGCGTTGCTTTTTGTAGCAAGCTCTTCTCGAATTCCCGCCGCGTCTTCGTGATCAGGTTCCTCAGTTGGTTCCTCTGTGTCTTGTAGGTGTTGAAATATTCAACTTGCCCAGTAACGCAGTATTTTCTCCACAATTTTTGCTTCCTGCTGATTTCTTTCTTGATGTTGCTATTTAACCACCCATGGTATTTGTCAAGCCTTACGCTAGTCAGTGGGCAGTGGTTGTTGATGGGCTGCAGAAGGACAGTCTTGAACAGCTACCAGTCATCGTTAACATTTCCCGTAAACAATGAGCCCCAGTCGAGATCGGATAAGTCTGCCCTCACCTGATTGAAGTCGCCTCGCCACACATTACGTCTTTTTTGGTCTGGAGAATGCGAAATGGAGAATAACGAATAATCCCACATGAGCACCACATGGTCACTTCGGCCAAGAGGTGGCATGGAGGTGATCTCGTCTATGCTGTCTGGTGTTTTCGTAAAGACCAGATCCAGGAAGTTTGCCTTGTCCTTCACGTGTTTTCGTGGGAAACATTACATGTTTTGTAAGGGACGCCTTTAGTGTTTTGTTCAGCAAACGGTATTCGAATGCCGATTTTAGACCTGACGCTTGGAGGGTATTCCAGTTTATTCCTGGTGCGTTGAAGTCGCCCAAGATCATGATGCTAAATCGACTGAAAAGATTCTCCAACTGCTCCAATAGTTGAGTGTCGGCGATTTGGTCTGTCCTAGGTGGTCGGTAGACAGTAAGGACATTGAGACACGGGGAACTGATAGCCTTGATGATAATTTTATTTAATACCGGTTTACAGGTATTGTCAAGGGAAGCGTTAAACACAAATCCGGCCAGCAGTGAAAAAACTCCTGTGGAAAAGGAATAAAAATATAGTTGATGGTGGTTTTAGCGTTTGGAGGGTTCAGGAGAAAAAAAAACTGCTGGCGGCAGACATTCGACCGTCAAGAATGGAAGGGGGATTGCACGGTATCGGAGATTATCAGACG